GTATATGTGTATATATATATGTATATATATATATATATATACATATATATATATATATATATATATATATAGCCATCAAAATCTAAATTTGTCTATAATTACAAAATAAAATTATGTTAGCCAGTGAAAACATTGGAAATCTATTCTCTGTACTTTTGTCAATTAAGTAAAGTTTAAAAAGAATGAACAAATCACATTCTTGATTTTTATTGCATGTTACAAAATGTCCCAACTTTTTTGGAATTGGGATTGTAACATGTATGTGTGTATTTATATATGCAGTAGATATATATAATACACAAACAAATATTATATAAACAAGCTTTTATTTTGGTTGTGATTAATCGCGATGAATCGAACCGACAGCCCTTTATACATACACAATTTATTTATTTATTAATTTGTTTGTATATTCTGCTGTAAGGTGGAGTGCATGTAAATGATGGAAACATTGGTGACGTTCCTCCTCACTGGATCTCTGATACAAGGTCTCATTCTTATAGATTATTCCTCTTTTTAACAAGCTGAATTATTATTATGAAAGCACTTACATGTGACCTTCATGAGATTGAAGAGCAATAAGTGCTGCAGAAGTTTGTTCTGAATATCGACTTTGTACGATTACTTCTTTTGTCTGTTTGTGTTCATTTTAGGTGTTTTTTGTGGCTTCAGTATCAATCTGCTGCAGAGAGTAGAAGCTCTACAAGGATCCTGTGTTTTCATACCCTGCACATTTGACATCGATCAACAGTTTAACAGTTACCTCACAGATAGTGCAAAGAGAATATGGTTTAAGGGTGTAACACCAGTGTTTGTCTCCAGCAGCCCCAACACTGGACTGTTAAAAGGAGTTGAAGATGATAAATTGCGGTATAACTACAAAGAACCTACACACTCCCAAGTTCAAATTGCCGTCTTAGGTGAGTGTCATATTGTTCATGCTGCTTCTAGAGTGTGACTCGACACAAATTAAAAAGAAATCTACTACTGAACAATATGTACCTTCATTTTTGGATATAATAATCCATATGATCTTGTAATATCTCTATGTGTGTTTCAGGATCTCCACCCAAACCCACACTGTGGGTCTTTAAGGATCAGCAGGAGGTGATGAAGATGATGGAGGTCATGGAGGGAAGTTCAGTGAGTCTGCGCTGCTCTACTAAGATCTTCTGTCCGTCTCGTCCACCATCTCTCAGATGGAGCTCATCTCTCAATGAGAACGTCACAGAACAGCCGTATCAGAACCAAACTGAGCTCATCTCTGATCTGAACTTCACTGTTTCTCACCGTCATCATAGAATCACTTTCACCTGCACTGCAACACACCAGCTACAGCAGCCGAGCACAACACAAGAGTCCCGGATGCTACTAGTTCAGTGTAAGACAGGAATTGAATCAATCTATGCTCAATGATCAACTACAATATCATAAAGTAATTGCCTGAATGATTTTCTCCTCCATCAGATGCTCCTAAAAACACATCAGTGAGGATAAATCCAGCTGGTTTAGTTCTAGAGAGTCGTTCAGTGACTCTGAGCTGCAGCAGTGATGCAAACCCAGCAGTGAACTACACCTGGTACAGAGACACTGAAAGACCTCTGAATCCAGTTCAGACCGGACCAAACCTGACCATCAACAACACCGAGCCGACACACAGCGGACGATACTACTGTAGAGCTGAGAACAAACACGGCACTCAGAGGACATCAGCGCTTCTGGACGTCCAGTGTGAGTATTAAGAGTCTTTCCTGATACAAATATTCCAAATATTTAAGGTCACTCATTTTGCACAGTGTAGCATTACCAACCTTTATACTGTATATAGTAGATGTAAAATATGACTATGTATTGTGCCTGCCTACATTTTTTTTTTGTTCTACCAGATGCTCCTAAAAACACATCGGTGAGGATAAATCCAGCTGGTTTAGTTCTAGAGGGTCATTCAGTGACTCTGAGCTGCAGCAGTGATGCAAACCCAGCAGTGAACTACACCTGGTACAGAGACACTGAAAGACCTCTGAATCCAGTTCAGACTGGACCAAACCTGACCATCAACAACACCGATCCAACAGACAGCGGAAGATACTACTGTAGAGCGGAGAACAAACACGGCACACAGAAGACATCAGCGCTTCTGGACGTCCAGTGTGAGTATTACGAGTCTTTAATAATTTATTCACAATCATTAATATATTAGACTTGAGATTTTAGACTTTATAAATAAAACACGAAATACAATAAATATATGTAATATTATATATATAATTAAAACAGCAATAAGTGGGCAGCATACATGTGAACTCCTTCAGTATTATTTGAAAAGCATGCTTTTTTTCACTAAATGTTTCCCATACTTCCATTAGTGTTATTTTATTTACATTTATTTTAAAAAATGTATAAAATAATAATACCATATATATTGCGGGCTAAATCTTTTTGTCTTTCATCAGATGCTCCTAAAAACACATCCGCACATGTAAATCCAGCTGGTTTAGTTCTAGAGGGTCGTTCAGTGACTCTGAGCTGCAGCAGTGATGCAAACCCAGCAGTGAATTACACCTGGTACAGAGACACTGAAGAACTCCTGAATCCAGTTCAGACCGGACCAAACCTGACCATCAATAATACAGACACGACACACATCGGAAGATACTACTGTAGAGCTGAGAACAAACACGGCACTCAGAACACATCAGTGCTGCTGGACGTCCAGTGTGAGTATTAAAAGTCGTAACTATGTGTTTCCCATACTTCCATTAGTGTTATTTTATAGTTGCTGTCTTTACTACTAGTTTAAAAATCTGTGACATCCAGTGTGAGCACTTGTAAATCTGCCGAATGTCCAGTGTGAGTACTTATTAATCTAGTGGATGCCCAGTACAAGTACTTGGTAATCTGCTGAGCATCCTGTGCGAGTATGTGGTAATCTGTTAGACGAAGTGTGTATGCTTGGTAATCTTCTAGACGTCCAGTGCGAGAACTTCTTAATCTGCTCTTAATCTGCTGAGAGTCCAGTGTGAGTATTTGGTAATCTTCTGGATGTCTAGTGCAAGAACTTGTTATTGTCACAAATCCGGTCCGTGGTCTTCCATCTGCTCGCCACCAGAGGTCGCCTTCTGATTACATTGACTCTCACACCACACAAACTGTTGCACATCACCCTGGACTACATTTCCCATGCTCCATTGCACTGATTGGACTCACCTGCAGCCAATCACACACACTATATAACAACCACTCAAGTCCTTCTCTAATGGCCGAGTATTGTCTGCGTTTATCACTCTCCTAGTGGTAGCACTTTACGGAGCCAGTATCCTGTCCGAGTTTAGTCTAGTTCCTAGTTCTAGTCCTGTTTCGTAATGTCTAGTTTTGCCTGATTGTTTGTTCCTGATAACCTGCCTGTCTTGGATTTCTCTCTCGTCTTGTTGTTTGGATTCTGTTCGCACCTCGCCTGGATGAATATCTGTCTGTGGATTACTCGCCTGCCTCATCCTTTGGATTATGTTCGCCGTTGATCGACCTACACCTGTTTATTGGATCACTCTTCTGTCTTGTCCTCTAAATACCTGTTTGCCATTGTCCGACTCTTGCCGGTTTTGAATATGTTTAAGAATGAAGCTTTGCAGATGGATCCACATGTCACTCGTCTCAGTCGCCCCATTACAGTAATATACTGAGAGACCAGTGTGAATAGTTGGTAATCTGCTGTACGTCTAGTGTGAATACTTGGTAACTTGCTTGGTGTCTAGTGCGAGAATTTGGTAATCTACTGAGACTCCAGTTTGAATACTTGGTAATCTGCTGTACGTCTAGTACGATTACTTAGTAATCTTTGTAATCAAAAACTGCCTTTTTAAATTATTTTATACTGTTCTCTGAGGTCCCCTTATATCGTTATCAAGAATTTTACATAAAAAAAATCATAATTTAGAAGTAATAGGCTATTTTCTGTCCTGTTTTTGACCCCCCTCTGTTTGAATAGGTGTGGCAGATTGTAGATTCGGAAGTAAACGCCCACTGCTATGATTGGCTAATAGTTGTGTATGTTTAACAGCCTACGTCCTTCACAGATGGATGTTGCAGTGATTTAGATTTAAAATGCATAAATACTCATATCAAACTATTTGTAATAAAGCAATTGTGACCACATAATAAAAGGTTACTCACACTTATGAGATCTTGCATCGACTTGAGCTTTGTTTGTAAATGAATCCGCTGTAAAGTAAAGTGAACAAAGGATGACGTTCTTACTGATGCGGTCTTGATCTTCATTAAAATTAAAGTGAATCCACTCTTTC